GAAATATCTTCACTATACCTAAATTAGTTTGTTGCAGTTCTTCCTTTCTCATTATTTTCTCTAGGTAATGTCTAAGTTGCAAAAATCTATAAAAATCCTGATTGGTTAAACTGAATCGATTTTTAAGATCCTGGAAGTGTCGCAGTGTGCACCCCTCAAAAGGCCTGTTTCCACTGAAGAAGTTCCTGGTACTATTTGCAGGGCAGGAACTACTACAGGAACGTCCTCTCGCTCGGCCCTCTCAACTGCCGTGTCTCCACTGAGAGAGCAGAGTAGGAGGAAGGTTCCTGTAAAGTTACCGGGCTCTGGGTGTGATGTAATCGTTGCGCGACCATTTTGACCGGGGCGACGTAGTGGCTTAGGGACGCTGTTAGCTGTTAGCCGATAGCGGCGTCTGTAATAACTCACTAAACTCACAAAGTGGGCCGTGAAAAAAAATATTTTTTCCAGTGGATGTCTTAGTTACAACATGATTGAGCTAACTGGAGTAGTTTCATGTCGTATCTGACAACGGGAGGCTTTTAACAGATGACGTCCTGATGTTAGCTTTGCTGCTACTGTTAGCTGTCCCTGTCAGCTGCAGCCACTGATGCTTTCTAGACATCATGATTTCCCAAAACTGAATAAATACCACACATAGCAACACAAAACTGCTTTGCTAGCTCAATCATGTTGTAACTAAGATATCTCTGGAAAAAATATGTTTTTCACAGACCGTTTATTGAGTTTGTTTACATGGCGGTGGAAGCTATGAACGAGCTAACCCTCATCTGCTGAGTTTTAAAAATGCCGGCTATTTTGTTGCTTTCACTGTTGATGTCACATTCCACCTTGAGTATATCCAATCAGCACCAAGTAACCCCCAACCCCAGTCAGGAGTCTTTCGGGGCTGTTCTGAGTACCTACTCCGAGGCAGGGACTTGTTTAGCCCCTGTAAAAGTTCCGGAACTCTGTTCTTCGGGGGTGGTTCCTGCAGTGGAGACACGCACCAACAGCCCTGGCCCCATCATCTTGTTTTTTTCAGGACAATCTGGGCTACCCAGATTTGCCATCATTACATGTCCTTCTGTGTACCTGTATTTTATATTAATTTTTATATCAATGAAAAGAAAAACAATCCGTGTTACTAAATTCTTACATTTTTACATGTATCTCACCATAGCAAGTTGGAAGCTGACATATTCTGCCATATATGAAGAGGTGAGACTCTCTGGAATTTGGCAATATGAGAACCATGATGCTGGGACATTCTGTCACTTCACAGCTGTCCAAAACATGTGGTTTGTGCCAGGCGGACATAATTGCCAGCATTTTTTCATCATTGCAAGAAATTGACTCATTCACAAGGCAAAAATGTGTTTTATTTGAAGGATACATGCAGTATTTACATCTAAGATAATAGAAAAATAGTAATAATATTATTCCTCACTATATCAAGTGATAACAAGATCTGTATAATGGATTGTAAAGAAATTCGGTAGGTTTTTATTTTGTAGACAATTGATCTGTATTTACAGCATGATGGGATGACAACACAATGATGTGTTTAATATCACCGGAAAGCTCCGGTCCTGCGCTTTCATGTGATATGCGTTGCATTTCTGTGCGACCCTGCATTCGTGAGTAATCCATCCAAGAGTAATGTGTGTGCAAAGCTGCAGGAAAGCTTTGTTATACATAATTTTAGTGTAATTTTATCATTGTTTTTCCTTGTGAAAACATTAGACTACCGAAGAGTGTTTGGTCTTGTCGGAAAGCTACAGTTCCGCTGTTTCACGTGATATGCGTGGCTTCACGCTATGAGAAAATCAATAGAGAAGAACAGGTGTGAATTTGGACTCACTTTGCATCGTTTGGGCCCATAGGGTTAAACTCCTCTCTGATGGATTGGCTAGGAGAATAATTAAATGTCAAAATTTGAGATTTGTGGGTGTTTACTTTATAGCCTGATAATAATCCGTATTCCCTCAGGGTTATGAGCAATTCTGGAAGGGAAGTGAATGGATGCCCCAAGTATATCAAAATATCATCTGCGAACAGGGCAATTTTGTGTTCTTCTTGAGACACCATGATCCCCTTTATCTTCTCATTCTGTCTTATCCACTGACTCAAAGTCTCTATAAAGATGGCAAACAAGAGCAGGGACACAGGGCAACCCTGTCAACATCCCCTTTCTAATTAAAAAATATTTGATAATCCTCCGTTAATCCGAATTTTAGCTGTTGGTTTATAGTATAAAGCTTGTATTGTCTTAATAAAATCATAAGAAAGACCAATCAACAGAGTCAAATGTCTTCTCTGCATCTAACCCTAACAAGACTGCCTCTAAATTGTATTTGTTTGTTTATATAGTTAATTACATATAATGTCCTCCTAACGTTGTCCTGTGTTTGCCTGTCTAATGAAACCTGTTTGATCCAACTGTATAATATCTGAAAGTATTATTTCTAAGCGTTTTGCTAGAATTGATGTGAAGAGTTTATAATCCTGGTTCAACAAACTAATTGGGTGGTAGTTAGAGCAATCTGACCTATCTTTCCCTTCTTTTGGTATTACAGTTATGATCACTTCCCTCCAAGATGGAGGAATCTCTCCTTTTTTAAGGACCCAATTGATTGTTCACTGTAACAATGGTGATAAAGAGTCACTAAAAGTCTTATACCATTGAGCTGTAAACCCATCGAAACCTGGAGACTTATGGGTCCATGTCATTTGTCCGACAGCCCATTGGTTCGACGTCCCATTAGTCTGACTGTCCGCGGTGCTGAACGGCTCGCGGCGTCCCTAGCTAACTCCCTAGCTACTGTACGAATGACCCTGTGTGGTCTGTATAGGGGGGAAGCTAGTTAAAGGTATACCATGCAGGGATTGTTGGTTAATCTTTGTAAACAGTACGTCAGTGAAAACCAACTACAGTCTCATTCTCGTTGTAGAACAAGCTTTGTCCTCTTGGCATTTCCTCCCCCTGCTATATGTATTTTTTCAGTGCCGTGTCTGTGATTTTCATAGTGTCCTGCTGGATGTGTGCTGCTTGAGGTCTGGCACCTTGTCGCTACCTTTTTATAAAGTCTCAACCTGACCTGTACGCTGCATCCAGGAACATCCTGAACGGGTCCATGTCATTGGTTCGATGTCCCATTAGTCCGACTGTCCGCGGTGCTGAACGGCTCGCGGCGGGCGTATGGTGCGCCGTGACCGGCTCTGGGTCAGCTGGGAAAGGCTTGAGGCGAAGCAGGCTCACGGCTTATGTGTTTGTCACTTTCTTTTTCATTTTAACCCACACCATGATCTTTTCCTGACCCTAACCAAGTGGTTTTTGTGCCTAAACCTAACCAGACCTTGACCACAGGGCATCATGATGATTTCGGAACAGACTTCGGAACAATGGGTTTAATATGGTCGGAACAATGGGATGTCGAACCAATGGGCTGTCGGACCAATGGGCGGTTCCCGAGACTTATTAGGTTTGAGTCTAGAGATTGCCTTTTGCAGTTCTCCTATAGTCACATTGGCCAGTAAGACTTTATTCTGGTCTTCTGTAATTGTTGGGAGATTAAGTGATGCCAGCAGAGATTCAAGTGACTTGTCCCCCTTACGGGCCATCTGGGCATATAGGTTTTTGTAATATTTTTAAAAACAACTCTGAATGTCCTTAAAGTCATGTTTTATTTGTTTGGTGAATGGGTCTTTAATTTTATGTACTACCCTCTCTGCTTGTTGTTTCTTAATTTGTATGCCAGAAATTTAGCTGATTTACTACCTACTTCATAATACATCTGTTTCAAAAAGGTTAGTTTCTTCTGAATGTCTGCCTCGTACATTTCTTTGATCTGATTTTTAATTTCCCTAATTTTCTGAGTAATGTCCAATTGGGTATCTTTTTTATGTTTTTTTTTTTTCAAATTTCCTAACTCTTTTTCTAGTTTATCCAATTTTTCCTGTCTGAGCCTCTTTTGTAATGCCAATTTCACAATGATTTTCCCTCTCAAAACAGCCTTACCTGCATCCCATGCCATAAGTGGGGACACTTCTCCATTATCATTTTCTGACATGTATAACTGAATTTCCTCTTGAAGTTCTTTCCCTTAAGTACATCTAAACTCCAGGAAAAAGTATTTTTACTATTTTTTAAATTTAAATCCAGGTGTCCATTATCCCAATTTTACATGACCTTACATAAAAAAAAAAGTTAAATGGGTCTCTTGCAGAAATATTATATCTACCTTGTCTTTTTTCATTTTGCCCAGAATTTTACTTCTTTTTACTGGGTTAAGTACACCCTTCACATTGTAAGAAGCCAACCTAAGTGGAACTCTTTGGCTTTCTATTATAAATCAGGTGCCACCTTTAATCTTACTACCCCCCCTCCACTCGCACTCTATGGACCGTTTCATTGCTATTCTGTTGCTAGGGCAACAACTTTGGTCCCTGTTTACTTCCTGTTAGCTTCTGCATTAACATACATTCAAACAGGAAATACAAAGGGACCCATTTAGAATATTTATGTTGTCCAGTTTGAAATGGTCTATAAAAACATGAACACAAAAAGAACATGAATAGAACAGTCTGGAAGGCCCTTAATACATTTTACCAATGTCTTAAGTTGAACTTCCTGTTTTGAGATCTCTTTGATAACCCTGAAGGAGCCGAGATCTTTTGCCGCCTCCATGCGTCCCCAGCTGTGGTGGAGGGCCCTCCTTTAAGTTTTCAAAGTGTTCCATGTTTTTAGCTAAGTCAGATCTTCTCCAATCATACATATTATATCATTAATGTCATTAACCTAGCCTAAACGCCTCACACGGCAGTGGTTACTTGTTTGTTCTGTGGCAGGCGAGCAGAGCGTTCTACTAATACAATGTGTTACACGTTAGGTTGCCTGACAATGCCACTTTGGGAATTTCACCCAAAGAATTATTACCACTATTATCAATAGGACACACAGGTTCGTTCACTCAAAAGGCAAGAGACGTGGTTCCAAATTCTTTACAAAAATAGGTACACTTTATTCCAAAAAATACATTTTTTAAAAACTACAAAACTCCATTCATACCAAAAGGAAGGGGGAGGGGAACCTAATCAGGAGCTGAGGCCTGCTGGTGAGACCGGAGCTAGCGAGGGGGATGGGAATCCATCGAACAAAGAAAATATTAAGCTAAATAAATTGAACACCCAGGCATACGTGACAGTCACTCACACTTTGTGAAATCACCCACGATCCCAGGAAGACACGGCACACAAAAAGGGAGGGATACCACCACCCAGGTGACCAACACCACCACCACCACCGGCCTGCAGCAACTGAAAAGGGGATAAAACACAGAGTTACAACAGAAATTAATTACAGCATAAGACAAAATATACTAACTAAGAAAAGTAGGCAGGAAACAGTAAACTAAGCAAAATAACTGCCCAAAACAACAAAACTGAAATAAACAATATAACAAAAATAAACAATTGCCCCCAAACAGATATTTAAATCGCACAAAGAAATCAAATTAATCAAAACCGGCTATTGAAATAATAAGAAATTAAGGGGCTGGGCCAAATTAACAAGTAAAAAAATAAGAGTAACTCCACACAATCACACACTTAATGGAATTAAAATGTTTCAGTCCTATACACAGCCCAGATGATTGTAGTCAAAAGTGGCACGGTAGCCAACCGCAATCCAAGCCGTGAAGCAGCGCCACTATGCAAACCCCAGCGATGCAGTGGGAAGCAGCAAGCGAGACGAGAGAGCGGCAGCCAATGTGCAAACTAGCCAGACGCAGCCAGGGACCAAACGAAGCAAAGCAGATACAGCAGCAGCCAATACAAGGACACAGTGGAGACAAAACAGCAGCGGCTCTGATCAGCTGGTGGTGGTGACGTCACGTCCGCACCACCGGTGGACTCAGCCAGCTGATGAGACTTTCCTAATATAAAAACAAAATTAGCATCGCTAAGCTAAAAGATACACTTGAGAAATTTGGAAAGAAGCAACAGCCTACCTTTCCAGAGTCTGACAGGCACACGGAGAGTGAGGGAGAGAGGAAACCCGCACAGCTACTGGCATTCACCTGCGACCACTCTAGCATTTAGCCACTTGAGATGACAACATAACCGAAAGAGAGAGAGGACACCTACCAATACAAATGCAGCCAGGTGGGACAATGGAGCACGGCGCACTCTGTCGCTGCTCTGCAGTAAAACACAAATGCTTTTAGCATAATGAGAGAGAGACCAAACGACCGAAGCGAAGCAGCAGCAAGTGGCATTACCTGAGAAGACACACACCTCCGGACTGGAAGTGATGCGGCGGGGGAGCGCAAAACAAAGAGACGGTGGAGGACTGCCACCTTTATTCTAAGCCGCCCCAATGATCAGCCACCAGCTGTGATCAATTAAGAGCAGCGCCCTCTATGCTGCTACAGTTCCACAGTCACTACTACCATGCCTCCTTACCATGGAAAATCCGTGCCAAGACAAAACAAGTTCACCGGTCAGTCCGTCTGAAAACGTCCAGTCTCTTTTTAAAACCATCCCGCGGAGCCTCTGGCTGCTGCTCTGCTCCTCTTGGAGACCGGATTTTGCGCCACATCAGGTTTTAAACTCTGTCAGCCCAGCTTGCCCGTGGTTTATATATCATCACGGACAGACCTCTCTTCACCATGTCCTTCCTAGCCTCCTCTGCCGAGTTGTACAAGCATGTCTCTCCCTTGTAAAACACCCTCATTCTGGCTGGAAAAGGAGTTTGGAACCATATATTATTCTCTCGCAGCACATTCTTCGCCTCCGCGTATTCCCGGCGCTTCTTGAGGGTCTCTGGTGCATAGTTGTGATCCACAAAAACTCTTCTCTCCTGATACAGAAACCCCTTTTGTCACCATACCAGTTTCAGGATTTCTTCTTTAGTTTTGCTGCTGGAGAACTTAACAACTATGGATCTCGGAGGAAAGTTGACTGGTGGTTTTGGTCCCAGTGCGCAATGCGCATGCTCAATCTTGAGGTCGTCGGTGTGAGGCAACTCCAGTTTGTCCCTCAGCAGATTTTCCACGAATGTTATCATTGATGTGGAGTTGTTCTCCGACCCTTCCTCTATGCCATGAATTCTTATATTCCCCTGACTTGCTCTTCTCTCTTGATCCATTAGCTTATCTTCCAACTTAGCGTGTAGCTTTAGCAGTTCCCTTGTAGCCTCCTCCAGCCCCTGCACTTTTTCCTCTGTCTATGAAATTCGCATTTCGGCTTCGTCAGCGCTGCTGTTAGTTGCCTTAATGTCCTTTCGTATCTCTCTGAGAGTGTCTCTTAGATCTTGCAGTATCATTTGCAGGCTAGCCATATCCGCATCCACTTGTAGCTCCCCCATGTCAGGATGAATAGCTGTGTTGTCCTCCACGGGCTCTTCCTCGGCTGTTTGAACCCTTTCCTTCGTCTGTGAAACATTTTTTTGTTTTGGTTTGGGCATATTATAAACGCCTCTTTAACTTCTTCTGTTACGGTGTTTTTCTTGGTGATTGAGGAGCTCTGATATTATGCTGCCTACCTCATGGCTGCTCAACCAGAAGTCGGTCATTCTAGTTTTAGGTCATCTGAGCATCAGAAGATGTCAGGGTTTAGATGACATAGAACATTAACTCTCTTAAGTCATCAGTTTGTAGGCCTACAGTATAAAAAAAAATGGGACTCACTCTCCACTTCACCCAAATCAAACAACTCACATATTTTGTTTCCATCCTGAATATTGTTGAATCGCCTGTTCTCAATGGAAGAACACCAGCTCTCAGCTGTGCATTAAAGATCTTTGGCTAGATAAACAGGTTGTTACAGATGGTTCAGGGCAAAACTTCTGTTTTATATGCACACATGTCTTTAATTTAAATTTTCAAATTTTAGTAACAGCTTTTTTCTTAATAGAGTTAAGCTACAGCATAACCTTTTTCCTGTAAATATACACCATATTCACCTCCTGAACAAAGCTTTTTTGCCCATGGAGAAGTGCTTGATTTACTCCACATACAGTAAATACCTTCTTATTTATTCTGTCCTCTGCCATTTTGGATTTCGGTTCCGCATCATTTCACATTTCATCATTTTGGTCTATTAAAAACATGTCATCCAGTTAGTGTGGTCAATCTCTGATATGAATGATGTGATGCAGTTTAATAGATTTACTACACTGGCTGTGTATGAGAAGCCCTTAAACTCCACTGGGTTAATCATCCCACAGTAGGCAGTAGTAGACAATAAATGCAGTTTTTGAGGCTTTAACAACAAATAACAACAAACAAATTCTTGAACTGAATTCTTATTAAAAACAAATTAAGATTCTAAATAAAATACAATTTTTTATCTATTGTTTTTTGTTGTTGTTTTGTTTTTTAAAAAAAATAGTAATGAAAATGAAAATTGTCCTGAAAATATCTCTAAGCACACTGATCAATAGCAGAGGACAGTTACTGTGAATAGTATGAGACACTCAAGTCAGCTGAGGCTGATGAGGTCCTAAGGTTATGGTCAGGGACGTAACACCAAATTCTGGGCCCTATGCGTAAGCAGTGTCTGTGGGGCCCCTGCCCATCCTCTGTTGATCCATGTCTCTCTCATGCAGGCTGGGGTCTGACTATGTTGTTTTTGACTTTTTTTTCCTTTTTTTTCTTTTTTTTGTTTGTTTTGTTCGCTTAATTGTGATTCCTTGAGCCCCCCTGAGTGGCAGAAAATGCACAACCCTCCCTCCACCATAAACAAATTATTAGATTTGTAAAACCTACCCTATGATGTTTGAAAGTTGAAAGTTAAAAGTTGGAGACAAAAAACCTAGAGTTCAATAAAGCCTCGGTTCTTAACTCTTGTCATGCATGTGAGTTAGTTCCTGAAAATGGCATGAACACTGCACTTGCTTGTTTGAGTCTAGCAACACGTCCAGATATTTTTAGTTATTTTTAGTTTATTTTTCAGAAGGTTGTGTCTATCCTGATAAACAAATAGGCAGAGCAACTGCTGTCAGTGCCCTCGAAAATCAACACGAGTCACTGTTTACAATAAAATTACAATAATATTCATATCAGCCCATTTTGGTGCACTGCCAGCCTTGCTGTTTTACTGGGACATACTGGCAGCACCGTTGCCTGCTTAATATTGTAAACGACTGTTACAGTAGTTACTGTAAACAGCTGCTACAGTAGTAAGCAGGTAATCGTGCTCCCAGTAAGTTAGTGTAAACAGCTGCTACAGTATTAAGCAGGCAACAGTGCTGCCAAAAGTTACTGTATAACTTAGTCCTTACAGTATCCTTACTGTTATATGGTTTTACAGTAAGAAATGTATTACTGAAAATATTGATGTATATTATTGAAATGCCGTGGCCTGTAGACTACTGTAGAAAAAAATATTTACAGTGATATGCAGTAAATTCAAATTCTTTATTTAAAAACATTAACATACAAAAAATTTTGCAATACATCAACATTTTTTTTATCAAAACAGTATAAAAACAGTATCAAATTCAAGTATACAATTCATAGTTTCACTGGGAAAAGTTGTACTATTTCAGCACAATTAATTCAGTACAATAAAATTCATAGTTTACAATATGAACAATAAGTGCTTACAAATGTTTGAAACATGAACACTTTTCAAAGAGTTAAAGACTATATCAACTTTATGCCATGTACTAAATTTACTGTAACTATAAAGGTCAACATTACTTTTCCTCCAAAAACAAACAATATTAACAGATTGTCTTTTTTCTTGACATAAAGAATTTGCAAGGGGGCAGGGGAGGCCATGTAGCTTTGTTTGGTAATGGGGGGGGTGTCGATCAGCGGGATGTTGGAAGGACTTCGGTGGAGAGTGTCTTTCTGATGTAAATGAAGGGGAGAGTTAGATGGAGAAGATGTGTTTAAAAATCAACTTTGTGGTTCACCTGCCAAGGGCTGGTAAACTACACATTTTCAATTTAACAAATGCCACACTATCCAGACCTTAAAGGGATAGTGCATCCAAAAATGAAAATTCAGCCATCATCTACTCACCCATATGCCGAGGGAGGCTCAGGTGAAGTTTTAGAGTCATCACATCACTTGCGGAGATCCCAGGGGAGAGGGGGTAGCAACACATCTCCACCTAATGGAGGCTTACGGTGCCCCAGAGTCAAACGTCCAAAAACACATAATTGAAACCAAAAAATTTCTCCATACTGCTTGTCCGTAGTGATCCAAGTGTCCTGAAGCCCCGACATAAAAATTTTCAATGGTGTGGTTTCAATTATCAGTCCTCCCGGTGAGACAGGAGGAGAACCAGTTGTGGATGGAATTGGAGAGGCCGATGGTGTGAAGACGGTGCAACAGGATGTTATGTTCGACAGTGTCAAAAGCGGCGGACAAGTCCAGGAGAATCAGAAGGGATGGGGAGCCAGCGTCAGCCATCATCAGCAGGTCGCTGGTCACCCTAACCAGTGCTGTTTCTGTGCTGTGGCCATGTCGGAAACCAGACTGAAATGTTTCATAAAGACAGTTAATTTTGAGATGGTTGTGGAGTTGAGCAGCCACTACTTTTTCCAGCACCTTTGAGACAAATGGAAGGTTTGAAATTAGTCTGTAATTAGCAAGGACATCTGGATCTAATGTGTGTTTTTTAAGCAGTGGCCTAATGACAGCAGTTTTAAGTGCAGGTGGGACATGACCAGCTTGAAGGGAGAGGTTTATCATCTGGGTAATGAGGGGGCTGATGGCAGGAAGATTGGACTTTACCAGGGCTGTGGGGAGGGGGTCCAGTGCACAAGTGGATGCTTTCATTATTTTGACTGTGGCTTCAACCTCATGTTGTGTGACAGGAGAAAAATGGCTGAAAGGTCTGGAAGGCCCAGGCAGTGGGTCGGTCATATGAGTCGGAGTAGCTGAGGGGCTAGAAGCACTGGAGAGGAGGGAGCGGATGGTTGTTATTTTATTCCTGAAGAAGTTGATAAAGTTATTGCACTTTCCCACTGTGGCATCCAGGTGAGAGCTGGTATATGGTTTGAGAAGGTGACTGATGGTGGAAAAGAGCTGCTTAGAGATGCCGGGTTTGTTGTTGATGACATTGGAATAGAACTGGGACTGTGCGTCTTTGAGAGATTTGGCATAGACAGTTTGATGTTCCCTATAGGCCTGCTTATGTACAGTCAGTCCTGATGCCTTGAAGCGCTGTTCAAGGATACGTCCAGCTGATTTCGTCCTCCGCAGCTTGTTAGTGTACCAAGGGGCTGAGCGTGAAAAGGTGACTGTACAGGTCCTGACGGGGGCATGATTGTCTAGGAGGCTGGTCAGGGACTGATTGTAG